CGCGGAGGAGCCTCCACGAACGGATTCTAGTACCAACGATGAGTGATATAAATCGCTCATCGTTGCTCTTTTTTTTGTCCGAATATCTCGTTCAAGATGCTAAAAGAATAAATTTCATCATAACGGTAATAAAGCACGCGCTGTAATTCGCTGCTATTAACCCTTCAAATGCAGAGAACGCGTACAAAGCATCTTTGAGACTGTTATTTAAGCAACGCACGGTATGCCAGGTCTCTTGCACCTTCCTATACAGATTCCTGTACAGAGCAATTCAGACACGGTCCTCCCTCAGCGAAATTGTGCATTTTGCACAATTTTCTAACATTCGCGTATCGAAATATACATAGTTTTGCTAAAGTCTCTACCCTACGGCGACCGAATACATGAGACACAATACGTAACCTTTTCATTTATCTTGAAATTCATCAACTTTTGAGGGAGCTCTCTCTCTCTCTCTCTCTCTCATTTCTAACGAGCTTTGGTAAAGCTGCATTTAATTGAAGCGTTTATTTAAATTGCATTTATATGAAACGTTAGCGAGTGAAATTTTATATTATTTCGTCTTTCGCTCCCAAGGGTTAATCACCGTTCGAAATATTCGCCTGACTGAATTTTTTCGCTGAAAATGATAATATATATCGTAACGTAATTACGTAACTCGAAGCAGTAAGCTCGTACGATTCTCTTCGGATTTTAACGAGCGAATATGTTTCAGAGCGAGCGCGTTAACATCACTTCGCGCGACGAGATTCATTAATCATATTTCCTATAATGAAACGAATACGTGTGCGGCTTTGCGTTTAATGGCGCGCGTGCTTTTCCGCGGAAATGCACGGTAAAACACAATAATTTTGTCAAAAAGTACGTATGAATCGCGGAACGAGATAGCGCGCATAATAAATTACGATGTAACTCGCCATTAATTATTTCGGTAATCGCGGTCGCGATAACCAGGTGCGAAGCCTTCAAACACGATCGATCACTTTCGAATATTCAACAAACGTTAAACATTCTCGCTCGATCCATCTCTACGTGTTACTGCGGAAACATCGTCGGTTAATTAAATAAGTAATTAATTGCTGCGACGTGCCGTCGATAGATAAATTTAAACGCACGTTAATTAGTCTGATCGATCGAGCCTTCTCGACAAAGAAAGGATCCGCCACCGAAATTCGAGTAAGGTCCCAAATTATTAATAAACTGGAAAGTTCCTCGCTAATTACCGCAGCGGCGAACTGATCAAAAGCGAGAAATCCTACACACAATGTGCGTAAAAGTGTGAGATATATTCCAGTTAAATTATACATTTGTATAACGGACCGTATAAATTAAGTGATCGGAAGCAACATAATATATTAACATATTTTATGATTCCGCTGCCTCGCTGATTTAGAAAACATTTTTGCGAATACATTTTTGATGTTTTATTTAACCGGCCATTAGTAGAACAAAAGCGATATATGTACATGATTAAAAACATATTTGTAAAATACACAATAGAGCGCGAAGAGAAATAAATATTAAAAAGTTGCCTCGCTAAACAAGCTCGATGATTGAAAAAATATCGTTTCAGCGGGACGTGCCAGCGCCGCTAATCATCGGAACGCCGTTTGGGTGAATCCCGACGCGATACCTATAATTATAAATTCACCAATCCATCCGTGAAACGCCGCCTTTTATTACTTGTGAGGAAAAGGGAGGTTTCGCGCGGAGAAAGGGGGAAAAAAAGCGGGCCGTAGCGATGCGGCGTCGAGACGACGTTGCTGTCGCAGCCACGGCAAACGAGCTAATGGGCAGTTATGAACTTTCTTCATCTAAGTTTCGAGGACTTTTTTGCGTATAAATTGAAATTTTTATCAGACACTGCGAGCCCCTTTAACGAGCGCCTCTTAGCGGAAACTTTTTGAAGATCCCTGTGATCAACCGGCCAGAGCGTGGACCGGCTGAATCTTACGAGAGCCTGTAAGGCAAAAAGGTATGTCCGACGTGACAATTTCAATCGCGAATTCTAGATCGCAGCTGTCAAACGACAGAGAGAATAAATCTTACATTAAAACATAATTTCTGTTTCCGAGTGGATTAAAATCTTCCTCCTTCAACGGTGCTTCTTTATATCGTCTCTATGACAATTATATAATTTTTAACATAACAAGTTTACACACGAAGAAAAACTTGAAAGAAGAGTGTTTCTCTGTCTGAAGAATAAAACTTTCTCAGCAGAAGACATTACTTCCAGAAGATTGGATCAAGCGAATTTATACGCGAGGAAAGTATTAGGGAGTACATAACTTTCGATAAAATCAATCGCTCGAACCCTTTCGGCGGTGTTAACCCACATGCCAACAGTACGCTTCAAGATGTGTCTCGAAAGGATTAAAAGCGGGCCTCTCTATTTTTATAACGCGGCTGCGCGATATTTTCTCCCGCGCGTGTTCTTAACGCATGGACCACTTGGACGTTGTAAAGTATTTCGAAGCTGTCAGTGGCACTTCCCGCATCCGTCGGTTTTCTCCACTCGGAGCTTCTTCCCCGCAGATCGCAATAAAAATAAAAGCCCTTTCCGCGTTTCTCTCCGGGAGAAGTCTTTTCCTCTCGCGCGGCGATCACATTTATTCTAACCCGCTCGTGGCGGCATATCGATAGAAAAATCTCCCGCGTATTTTAAAAGCTTTCGAAAAATCATTCGCGGATATTAAACTGTCCCAATCCTTCAAACGTACTTGCCGTTTCGAGTTAAGGAAATTAATTTACGACGCGCGGTAGAATCGATCGAATGTTTTGTTCCGTCGATAATGTACGTGCGAAATTATTCAAGTTGTTACAAAGGCATTTGAATTGAAAACTAGTTTGACATTAATCATCGCATCTCTTCCTTCGGTATTCCATCTCGAAGCATCAGATTCTTCCTCAATAATCGATTAGCGACCGAAGCAGTGACCTTTATTTCACTCGCGCCGCACCGGCAAAGTATTCTCTCAGCCCGGAATCATTAGGCGAGAATTTATGGGCCGGGGTATACCTCTTTTTGTCGCCACGGCTATCGGCGACGGACAGGCGGTTGACGTTCGCGTGAAACAGGAATTTCCTTCGGGTAGGTTATTAGAAGCAAGGGGACGGGTATTTCCAGAGTGGGTCAAGTTTACCGGTACTTTGCGCGGCCCGATTTTTCCTGAAACCCGAGCGCAGTGTGGAGAGCGCAGTAATCGATCTATGCAGGTAGGAATGCAAGCGGGCAGGCAAGTCGCACAAAGGCGTCTAAACGCACCACATTCCGTTTGAACAATTTTCAACCTTGAGTTGGAATTTCTGAACTTGGCAATATCTCGCGTGATAATATCATGAAAAAAAATATATATATTAATAAAGTCTTCGTTCATCCAGTATATATAATGTATACTCCAACCAAACATGGTTAGAAAGTTAATGAAGCGATGTAAAGTGCAAAGTTTAAAAGGCTCTCTCGCAAAGTAAGAGCAAGACGATGAGAGAAATAATCGATCACTTACGGATCGCCGTGGCAACTAATAACTTCAGCTCTCGTAGATGGGCACGAATACTCGCGCTGATACAACGATCTATCAAAAATGGCGGTGGATCTACGATCCTCTTCTCTCCTTCGAGATCGCCGAGCGTTATGGCCAGGTGCACCATACTATACGTGAATTTAGGTGCGCTCGAGCGAATAAGAGAGGAACTTTATTTCTCATTGCAAGAGGAGAACGTTCTAGATGAAAACGTCAAAACTGATTACTGAAAAACAGAAGCGTCTATCGAAAGAAGGTGCGATTCAAATTTTCACACGAAAAGAGCGAGATTTTCTCATCCTGTATTTTTAATTCGGACAAATAATGTCGTCATTCAAACGGTTCAAGCGAAAACACTGAGCGGGGGGATTCATGGCACGACGAGCGTGGTTCTCTCGGTGCGTAAAAACGAAATAGTTGGACGGCACCGTTCGGTTAATGGGTCGAAACTAGAAAAGGGCGTCGCGATTTTGAGGTCAGAGGTGATCGGAGGAGCAACGACCCCGTCGAGGCAGCCATCAATTTTTCTCGGACTTTTAATCGCTCTTTCGTCCGAGATTTGGATTTAACGGCGTGACGCTTTTAATGTAACGCAATAACGGCAGCTGGAAGAGCGACGGTAATAACTGATAACATTCAGCGAGGGGCTCTCTCTCTCTCTCTCTCTTTACCGGGTGCTCGCAACATCAATCTTGGCAGTGTCCACGGATAATGTAAAGTAAAAAGCACGGTTGAAATTTATCAACGTAATGTGTGGTAATGCTACTACAGCGCCATACATCATGATTATCACTCTGGAGTATGAAGTTTCGCGTTGCAGTCGCATGTAAATGAGACCGCGAAATTTGCTACGTGTTATTTTGGAACTCACTTATCCTTACGGCCGCAATTCCCCTAGAAAATACAGACTTTTAATCTTCTCTCGTATGCACCAATAAAATTCTGTTTTCCCGCGGAATGCGCGTTTTCCGCGACGTTGTATTTTGTAATAACAAAAATGTCGAGTTGTATGTATAACACAGTTTGCTATAGAAAATTACTTTTGCCCGACGTACGAGCTAACCACCTCGCTCACACAGCAGATTAAATACCGACTTGCAATGTTTTTATTAGACTCGGTGAGATTTAATATGACCTCGTGACGTAAACGTTTTGTTTATCATACCAATCATATTTCCTCTTTCCATCTCCGGCGAAACACTTGTTTTATCAAAAAAAAAATGCCCGATCACACGAGAGAAGCGTAAAATGGATTGCTCCGAACATATAAACGATGAAGTTTCGAGATAATTATGCATAATTATAATACAATTATTCGCTCTATAATTGTGCACTACATATATTAATGAATGAATTTATTATCGTACTCGGGTGTTATGCTCGTATTAATGGATAATATACCGTGACAGTAGAGACAACAACACGAGTTTGACGTGTGTTTATATAGTCCCTTTAAACAGTCGCGCTCTTCCTTACCGTCTTTATTACGATGTTTCCTTGCACGACTGACGTTTTCTCCTTTCCTTCTTCTCCCTGCTATACAATTTCGCTCCCTCTATTCGTCACTCTCAAATCCATTTCCTTTCTTCTTTCCACGCCCACGTAATTGCGATTCATCCATCACGCAGTTGTCCATCCGTTGTCGTGCTCTTTAAAGCAACCTCTTGCCCTATGTTACACCCGCAAATTTCATTTGCGTTAATTACCTTTGCAACCCTTTACCTACACAAACATACGCGATAAAATTTCATTACGCTCATTACTTGTATGAAACTAATTCCACGCCATCACAACAAATGCGTATTCGACTAAAGGATAGGATTTCTGCATTAATTAGAGCGATCGTCGTTTCTCCAGTTTGCGATCTTCTTGTAGAGAAAGAGAAAAAGGTCATCCTTTCCGAGTCGACGAATCTCTTTAACAACGTCCCATTGTAATTAACTGCTGAATGTTATAAGCGGTTCCGTCTCGTCTGTATAATTCTCGTTCTCGAAAAGTCGCTACTTTTGAGAATGTTCGCATTTTCGCGACGAATGCATGCAAATTGATAAAACCACATCCATACCTATTATCGAAAATTAATTATCCACCTACAAACTCCATTATTGCCTTACGAAGCGCGACCCTTTTGAACGACGTTTTCGGATTAATTGTTGTTCAACGCACGAAACTTGAACGACGATGCGAAATCGAGCCGCGTAAAAATTCGCGAGGCATCGAAAATGCAACGTTAAGAGAATCGATCGTGGCTATTAATCCCATCAATTAGTAACTCCAAGGCGAAATTCCATTCGTTTGATACTCCTTGAAAAAATTATTCAGAAATTCCCAATACGACATCCAACGTGTTCCTTCCTTCCGTACAATGAATTATTATTCCACGGCGCATTGCGGCACGCAACGATACCGCCGACGCACGCGCGCATCTGCGCCAAATAGATACCCACCGCCTAAGATTTATGCAAACACGAATCTCAGAGGGTGGGATACAAAGCGCGTGTGTACACCTTTATACGCGTAATACTCGGTCGTGCAATATCGGTCCGATCGAGTTTCTGCGAGTAAAGTGAGAGCACAATGGATCCGATGGATCCTTCCGGAATTTATCGCTCTCTCTCTCTCTCTTCTCCGGGAGATACACCGGAATTTGTTGATCGCCGGCCGATTCCGCACATTGTTCTCATCAATGCGAACATAATCTTTCTCTTGCAACGACAAAATAACGTTTGCATTTCGCAAGAAGATGGTTTCCCTCCATCGACTGTGTACTCCATTCACTCGTTACAAACAACTGCGATCGATCGTACAAAGATAATTTTATCATTAATTATTATTCAGTAATTATATTTCTCGCAGAGTTTCTTCGCGAAATTGTCGCAATACGTGGGTGAAGGATATAACTGGGCGTAGAAAGATTTAGGTGGATCGTAATTTCTTTTTACTTATTTTTCTATCACATATTACGGATCTCGTCGAGCATGTAATGAAGAAGCACACGCATGAATCTACAAAGCCGCGAAAGGAGGGGATGAGAACGTAATTAGGGGACACGAGGATTTAAAGAATGAGAGGGAGGAGAAAGTCTGTCGGATGGGCAAGCACGTGAGTTTCGGTGTTTTACACGGGAATGACGACGGAAAAGTTCGACGCGCGATTAATAATTCAGGAACGGATCGAATTTCCAAAATGTGCGATCCCGACGTCTAGATCCCGCAGCGTCACCGCTGGAATTTTCCTCCCTACGGTGATTCGAGCCGACGTGGATCCTTCAGGAATTTATTGCGCTCCGCGAAACTATTCCAGAATCGGGAAACATCTTGACTTGGAATTTGTCGATCGTTACGTAGCGCGGCACTCTTTCGTCATTGTTTCCAGGGCAGAAAGTCCTCTCGCGAAAACCATTCCAAAAGATACGACCGTGTTGTACTTTTCGGTGGTCACCTCACTGCGATCGAGGGAAGCGAAAAGAGACGCACCGTTCGTTTATATCGGAGCAAACTGAGCTATTAAAATGTATGAACGAAATCAATTACGTAGGGAAACCTTCCAGGATTTATGCCGCGCCTTCCAACTTGTATATTGAAACACGTCGTCGCGCACCGTCCATTGTTTCTCAGCCGTGATGCGTCGTTATCGCGACCTCGCGTGATAAGAGGCGTCGCGGTATCGATGTACGTCTCCGGAGTAAGCGCAGAGTTTCGTCATCGGGAATATCTTGGGGCGCATTAATACCGAAGCTTTCGCGTAAATAACGTCAGCTCCGATGCAATGTATAAACGCTGGATTTAAGCGCGATTCGATTAATTATCGATCTGCCACAATATTATTCCGGACCTAGTAGAGAACATTTGATCGTAAGTACATTCGAACGAAAAAAAAAGCATCGACACGCGTTAAGAATACAATTCTAACTTGGAATCGTAGTTCCGAGAGTATCAGTGTTATGAGAGAGTGCTGTTACACTACCAGGTAACGGAGTAATATGTTTCAAAGAGATCGTGCGACGATCAAGTCGTACGATCGGGTGTCCCAAATATCGGCTTACAATGACACTGACTTTCAAAGCAACGTTACGATCATACCATAGTGTGAAAACTGGTTTCTCTGGTCGGGGGAGAGGGTAATATCGAGCCGATAATTTTAATTCTCCCGTGCAGCAGCTTTAACTGTACAAAGTAATTTATCTTCACCGCGTGTGTAGTCCTCAGCTGCACGATAGAACTAATTCAATAGCTATATATACCCACCGTATTCCGTTCCGAGTCTCAAGTTTTTGCCCCGAGCTTTTGTTGCGTCCTGTATCGGGCTAAACCGACGTAATCTCGTTTTTAAGAATAAATACGACCGATACACGAAGTTAAGCGATGGATTTACAGCGTCCGGTGGGTCTTTTTCGCGTGGTGGACAAAGTATAATTTCCACCTTTGTCGAAGGTAGCGCGCCTCTCTCTCACATCTTTGCGATTCGGCGAGACGAAAATAATGCGCGGAAACGGGCAAATATTATTCCAACGGTCCGATTTATAGAGTAGGCCTGTCAGTCGGACGAGAACCAGGCATTGTTGGTGAACTATTTATTCCCGTTTCCGCGCACACCGTCGCGCTCTCTTGCAGCGTAAATATTTCTTTCTCAACGGTATGCCAGGCGTCTCGTAATTGCTGTATCGTTCCGTCGCAAACGGGAATTTTGCCGGGCATGGCGAAATATAAAATTGCTGCCGTTTTCCCTTCGATCCTTCGCGCGAATGCGTTTGTTCTTGCATGTAGATACCTCGTTGCCGATAAGAGGCTGCGCAATCATATCGCCTATCGCGAGAAATAACTCGCGTAATTTATATGTAATTCGAATCGCGTATTACGTAGCAATTATGCAGCAATCTCCGAGACTTTGTGGGCTCTCTCTACGTTTGCTCGCGGCGTCAAATTTTTCAAGCTTACTCGCCACAGTACGATAAAATTATGTATTAAATGTGACCTAATAAATATCGACGCGACAAATGTCTCTAAAACTGAGCAAAGAGTAGATACTAGGATCAATATCGTTTGTCTAATAATTTCTCGAATTTACCACTACTATGTGCATAGTTGGTGAAAAATTATAAAAATATAATCTACATTATTTTTATCGCGATTTCTTTGTTTAACCGCTTGAGAAAGAACGAATAGCAAAAGGATTACCATGGAATACCGGTTAAGCAACACGCGAGAAGAACACGCGGAAGAAGAAAGAGGATCAGACGAACGGGAAAGGCTGACAAGAGGTTTGAGGGAAGGGCGAAGAGAGAATAGGTAGGGTTGCAAAGAACGAGGGAAGGGAACCAAAAGGAGGGAAGAAACTGGAACGTCGCGCATAAAGGAATAAAAAGAGAGACGAAATGTGCAGGGAACGAAGATCCAATACCACGGGAGAAAAGGCGCGGACCTGTAACGGGAAAGAAGTCTTCGTACAGGGAGAGACTCGCATCGGACAAAAAATTTTCGTTGAAACGCTAACGATTCTTTTGTCTCTAAGTATATCTTAGAGATCGGCATGAAATTTCATTTCATATTTTATACGATCCCCACACTTTACAATGGCTTCAGCCTGAGTAATTGCGAAAAGAGAGAGAGAGAGAGAGAGAGAGAGAGCAGACGACGCGACATTACAAATATTTATGCCATGTTCCCGCGTTTGTTCCACCATCACGATTGCTCACACTGCGGAAAACTGTATCAACATATTGACGTGAACTGTATTGTTTGATTATCTTCATTAATAAATCGTTTTTCTATTATTCATAGAAATTCGTCATCTACGTTCTGAAATGTGGCGAGAAAATCTCGATCATTGACAAATGATTGAAATATTACGTGAGAACGCTCGCAATCTTTCATGCGGAATAAATTTATAGGTGACGTGTCCGTCTCCTTCCTGTCCGATTCTCAATATTATGTCGAAAGATTAAAACGATGTGCGTTATTTCATTAACGGTTTAGTTTAAATCCTCAAGTACATGGTATATTTTTCTATTAACGATGTTCTTTAAATTTCGACGAAAGAAATTAGGGCATTGTACAGATGCGAAAACTACGAGCCGATTTGCTTCCCTCTTGCATAAAAGAAAAGAAATGATTTCCTTTCTACTTTCCTCTTGAAAATAAACGAAAAAATAATCTTATCTAATTAATCCTCTTAGAGTTCGGCAAAAAGTCTCTCGCGTAAATGTCCACAGCATCATTGTGGAATCTTAGAACCAACGTCATATAACCACGATGAATGAGGCAGGTAGTCAAATAAGTCGCATCCAATTAGTCATCGGATCCCTCGTTGGTAAGGTTCCGCGAGGACGTAATTACTCGGGCGCGACTTTCACCCGGCGCGAACAATTGCCATCAAATATTCCGTGAAAACCGCTGTAGCGAGTCGCGGTAAGTTGCTCTCTCGCGAGATACACAGCGAAATACCGCGCGAGCGCAATATTTCACTAACTGTCTGACAAGAGGGTATTGAATATTTTTGTGCGCAACGGCGCGGTGCTCCCCTCTCCTCCTTTGACCGCGTGTAAAAAAATATGATAAACAAGGCGCTTTAAAGCGCAGGAAGAAGCATCTAAATCCTTTAATTAAACGGCTCGCACAAAATCTGCATAAAGCGCGGACGTAATTCACCGCGCGTATAATTATAACTGAA